TATGAACATAACAATATGTCTAGAAGTCCGATTCTGTTGAATGGTTTATTTTATTATTCTGCCATGAGCACTTAGTTCAGCGTTAGCATAATGACTAATTCAGGTCAAGGACATGATCTCACTCTAGGGTAAAAACTCAGCTAATGTCTCCATTACAAGGCCACAAATTTTCCCCTGACTCTGGACAATGTCCTGCAAATATGACTGTAGTCCTAAGGTATTTATCTGTGGGGGGAGGAGGTGAAGCTGGTATTATAATCTTTGAGATTAAGCTCTTTACCCTGCTACGACACAGCAGTACATTAGCCAGTTGATCTTCCTGTTGCTAAGTAACTTTATTCCTTTTGGGGAGAATCGAAGATAAACTCAATCCCGAGTTCTGCTCGTGAGCAAACTATATTAGAGGGGGTTCTTTGGAGGATCCCACTATTTATGCTAAACACCAAGCGACCCCATCTCTGACAGAAATCCGAAGTGCAGCTTTCTGCTGCCCTTGTAGTTTCCCTGAGATCACATCTTCCTTTGAGTCTAACACATGATGGTGGCCATATACAAGTTGACGACTTCCTCCCTTTTCTTTACCACAGGGAATTACAGTCCTAAAGCAAGAACAGGGTGTGTATGTGTAGTTATATTAAAATGTCCCCCTCATTTCTTTTTCCATCCTTATGGGAAAAGCAACCCAACACACTACACGCAGGAACACAGGTCCCACCCGGCGAAGGGGCATTTACCTCAATATCTTTCTTCCAGGCCTGGATGAGGGCAAACCTGTGGCCAGGCAAAAAGTTCATTGAACTTCAGCAAATATTACAAAGTAATTGGAGAAAATTGAATAGAATTGCTTTACTCTGGGTATAGTTCTCTTCTATGTGAGTCTCTGGAAAATATTGGGGCCCTGATCCACCAGTCTCTTCCTGGATTTATGGATGTCTCTCTCGTTCAAACTTCTTCTCGCACCTACCTCCTTCTATTTGAGAAACTGGGCTTGGAGAACCCCATATTCCTTCCCATAAGCTTGCCCTTTTTCGCTGCTTATTTCTCCTGGCTTCTTCACCAGTACACTTTGAGACCCATAGCTTCATCTTTACCAAACATAGAGACTGAATTTGACGATGGAGATTATTTTTTGTCCATCCTATGGGAAAGCAACCAACACACTCACGCAGGAACACAGGTCCCACCCGACAGAAGGGGCATTTACTCAATATCTTTCTTCCAGGGCCTGGATGAGGCAAACCTGTTGCCAGCAAAAGTTCATTGAAAAGCAAATATTTTCTTGGAAAATATTTGTGGCCCTGATCACCAGTCTCTTCCTGGATTTATGGATGTCTCTCTCTTCAAACTTCTTTCTGCACCTACCTCCTTCTCATTGAGAACTGGCTTGGAGACCCATATTTCCTTCCCAGAAGCTTGCTCCTTTTTGCTGCTTACTTTCTCCTGGCTTCTTCACCCAGTACACTTTGAGACCATAGCTTCATCTTTTACCAACATAGAGACTGAATTTGACGATGGAGATTATTTTGCTGAGTGCTTTGTGAGTATAAGCAACAACTGGCACAGAAGTGTTTGAATGTTGGAGTTTTGGAGTCTAAGTTTGTCCAAGTGATACAGTCAGAGATAGATTCGTCTAGAAGTGTTAGTGGAGGTGTAAATGAGAGGAAGTGTACATTTTCATGGATCTATCTGAAAAGGCTGCAGTGTTAAGCCATTTTTAACTGTTCTAGGAATAAGTGAGTCTAGAGAAGAAGGGGTGGTGAGGTTTCAGGAGATGGGAGGAAGACAGTGCTCCTCAAGAGACCCCCCAGCTTCCCAGATCTTGTCCAACATTTTTGAACCTGGATTATGAACCTAAGTAATTCTATACTTGTGGTGCCATTTCTCAACGTAGCACCGCCCCCCCCCCCATCCAGCTACTTCTGACTTAAGGGTTCTCATTAAGTACTTTCAAACTTCAGCCCTGTGCCTCTGGAATCCAATGTGTACGCTACCTCAGTTGGCCGTCTTCTAGAAGCTTGTTGTCTACCCTCCCCAAAGCAGAAAAACTTCCTTTTTATATCCCTGGTCAGGTCACTCTGTAACAGAACACTAGTGGCTCCCTCAGGATCCAGACTTCTGTAAGTACACTGCTGCCTGGAATATTTGAGCTACTCACAGGTCCAGAGTCCCAGAGTTGGGCCTTTGGCTCATTTCATGGTTTTGGTGCCTCCCTTGCCTCTCAAGCTTAAAAACATAATGTAATCCATCTGATTATAATGAATGATCCTTCTCATACTGATTTACTTTGCCATCATTTGTTCTTTTTGAAAGTGGGGTGAGAGGCCAGGTGCCATGTCTATAATCCTAGCTACACAGGAGACAACTATTAAGAGGATCGTGGTTTGAAGTTAGTCCCAGGCAAATAGTTTGTGAGACCCTATCTTGAAAATACCTAACACAAAACAGGGCAGCCCCAGTATTGCCAAAAAAAGAAAAAAGAAAAAAAAAAGAAAGTGTGGTAAGATGACCAGCTTTAGCAGTAGGAGTCAGGTAAGGTCTAGGGTACAGAGAAAAGCAGCTTCCCAGCTCTTTTGCTAGTGTTCTGTTTCTTGTCCTACTTATAGTAATGATTGCCAGATACGCTGGCATAGGGATTCAGGTAAGACATATCTGGAACCTTATAACATACTCAAAATATGCCCCCCATCACTAATTTGCAAAGTCAAATCACAAAAAATAGTTTCTTTTCTACCAAGCTAGTCTATAGTATTGGTTGGCATTTATCAAGCACATACTATAGCCAGATAAGATGGTAAATGTAAACCTTATTTCCTACAGTAGTCCCCATGCTGACTCCTTTACTATACCAAAATTTCTCTTCGAAATAAAATGAAAATGACTAATTGTAAGGAAATGTGGGCCCCAAAGTGACCACATGGAGAGGAGTGATCTGGCCAAGAGATTCTTTTTTTTTTTTTTCATTTTTCTTTTTATTATTCATATGTGCATACAAGGCTTGGTTTATTTTGGCCAAGAGATTCTTTATTGCCGGGTGGGAGAGGGAGAGAGCAGAGAGCCAAGAGAGTGAGGGAGAGAGGGGCAGGGGCTTAAATACCCCTCAGTGGGACTTAGCATGATCTGGTTGGTTAGGATCTTATGGTTCATGCTGATTGGAGGTTGGGGCAGAAGGAGGGTTCAAGCTAGACTTGAGGCTGGACTGTGACCCTGGGAGGCAGGACTGTGACCCTGGAAAACAACAGGAGCTTAAGGGTGCAGTAAGAACTGAAACCTATCGGCGCCATTATTGCCAACACTACTTATCTAGACAGCTGTCATTTTCTCAATACTTATGGAGGTGGGATGGGGACAAAGCACTGTCTTTAGATGCTTCACTTGTAATTGATGTTACAAATGACACACACTAGTTTGGTAATTTTCAAATATGGGGGCTTTTCTTTTCTTTAGCAGACCACAAAATATAGAACAGAAAAAAGCAGAGCTGCTTTGATCGAAGAAAGGTAAGGTTGTAGCGACATCTCTGCTGTGCCTTCTCCCTTTTTTACTCCTCATATAAAATCCCAGAGACATGTGTTCACTGAGCCTTAAGAGCTCCACATTTTTAAACCACCAATCTAGTTTTATCTCATCTTACAGGTGAGAAGACTGAGGCCAAAAGAGGAGGAGAAGGCAGTCAGTTAGGGTCACATAATGATTTGTGGGAAAACCCCAACTATCACCCATATTGAACTTCTAGGCCAGTGCTTTTCCAGTGAGAGGCCTTGACATTTGAGAGTTCTAAGTGAGCATGACATCAGTAGTATGCCAAGGCTATGACTTCAGGGAAGGGCTAGACTTGAATGTCATCTGGGGCTTTTACCCTTCTGGTTTGGGTCCAGGGCTATACATTCCTACATTCGCCCTACTCCCCCAATGCCTAAATAGCTTTGGGTGATATAATTGATTTGGTTTTCTTGGGTAAGATCTAAATGAATTCCGGGTAAATTTTTTTCCCCAAGGTAATTTTTGTTGGGAAACAAACATGATCATTTTACCTGTTTATAGACCTGCTCTTTGGCCATCCCAACCCACTCACCTTCCTGCATGCATGAGGACACTAAGTTCATTCACCTATGAATGCAGTGAAAGTTGCTTTTAAATTCTTTGCTAAACCTTATGCAAACCAGGGTGGATAACAATAAGAATAGTTTTTAATTTCCTTTTTTACTAATTTAGAGCTGCTCCTTCAGAAAAGAATGGGCCAAGGAAAATTGATGGCTGGAAAAAATTCTCAGAGGGGTGCTGGAGTAGAATGGTATGGAATAGGATAAGAAATGGCAAAGAGGGGCTCTGATGCCTACTCCCAAACCTGCCCTTTCTCTACCCCTAGCCCCTAGCTGTCCTTCTGATGCTTAAGGAGCTGGACTAGGGGAAAAGAAGGGGGTGTGGGGTGGGCATATTCAGACTGCACTCTAACCCCGTAAGTCTACTTCTATTTTCATGGCTTTAAAAAAAATTTTTATGCATTTATTTTTTATACAGTGGCACTAGAGATAAACCCAGGGCCTTGTACATTATAGACAATATTTAACCATCGAGCTACATCCCCAGTCCTCTATTTTCATGGCTCTTAAACTTCCCAGAGGTGGGTTTGACATTTCCAAAGCCACGTCTGAATCTCTAACAGAAAAGGCATTGGTGCTATTACTTTCTAGTGCAGTTTGCGAAGCCCTTCCCAGACAAGACCCTCGATCAAATCCGCTGGATGTTCGCAGGGTTAGACAGGGCAGAAGCCACTGTCCCCACTCTGTAGATGAGGAGGAGCTGGGAGCAGCGCAGCAGCTAGCTGGCTGCACCCCACCACCACCACCAATCCCCCTCCGAGGATCGAGCCTCTGTATCTGTGCAGCCCCGCGGACCTCACAAGTGGGCCTGCCGGGAGTTGTAGTCCCATGCCTGCGGCGGTCCACACGGACTGAACTACAATGACCAGCATGCCCCGCGCTTCGCGCCCCCTTCTCTTTCAGCCTCGGGGACCTGGGAGGCTCCGCGAACCTGCCGAGTGGGAACGGATATGGCCGCCACCCTGGGCAGCGGGGAGCGCTGGACCCAAGGTACCAAGTCCTGGACGGAGGGTGGGACAAGGAGGTATTCCGGAGAGATCAGGGATGGGGCTCCTGAAGGATCGCTAAGGCCAAGATCCTGGGCCTGAGGTGAAGGAGGCCTATGAGAAGATGCTAAGCCTGAGTAGGGTTCCCGATGCTGTGGGGGACCGCCCAAGGCAGAGGCCGGGGGCCGGAAACTCGGAATATTTGCTCAAGCCGGAGTCCGGGCTAGGAGCCCAGAGACACCTGTAACGACTTGTTGCCTCGCGCCCCCAGCCCCGCCCCGGCCCGTGCCCCGCCTAGAGCCCGCGGCCGCGCGGCCCCTCCCGTGCCTGGGAGACTGGACAGCTGGGGTGCTGCGGTCTCCTGCAGCTTGCTTACCTGCCTCTTACCGATAACTCTTACAACTTCGCCAGATTGGGCCGCCTGACCCTCAGTCTGGGTTTGATCTTGTCCCTTCTACCCTCATCAGGACCAGTAGGTTGCCCTCTTCCAGCCTACAGTCGGGCAAAAAGTATTGATCCAATACGTGTTGTGTATCCCTATTATGCTGATTCTGCAGGGAGGATTTTACAGACATGGGCCCCTGAGCTCAGTCCACTGGGAGAGTTTGACGGGGTTAACAGCCAATTACAAAACAGAGTCAGTTAAGTCCTGGGCTAACCCGGCAAGGTCAGGGACTTGGGGAGCACACTGGCAAGACACCCAGCACAGCCTGGGTGTGAAGGAGCCTTCATGGAGAAGGTATTACATCTGAAGACACCAAGGATGCGTTGGAGTTAGCCAGGCAGACTTAGAGGAATAGTGTCAGGAGCAGTGGATAGTCACTAAGGACAGTAAGGCAGGAGAAAGCCTTTTCCAAATCCTCCAACAAAACAGGATTGCATGTAGTGCTTTTTACATTCTGTAGGCGTTGTGATTTATTGAATCCTCATCCACTGAACTGTAACTTCTTTATGGTCAAGAATAGGTCTTACCTGAACACCCCTCTGACAGCCAAGTGTTTTGGTACATAATTAGTTCCATAACTGTTGGATAACAATTGAACTGCTCTCTACTTTAAATCTTAGGGGTCAGGGGCATGGCAACAAAAGTTTGCTTTATGAACAATGTCACTAATGACCATGCAGCACAGAGAAACTGGCTTCCTTCTGTGCTGCACTAAAGGCAGGTTATTGGGTAGATGCTTCTTCAGCCCCTATTCTGTCTCTAAGTCAACATGATTTGCTAAATGACCGTTCTATTTGTTGTGCTTCATGCTTCTGGCATTTATAAGTTTTCTTGGGTATGTGCTGTATTTTCTGTATAGTTTCTCATTCAGTTTTGAATGGATACTTAAAAGTCAACATGATGTCCTTAACCTACTCCTCACACTCACTTGCTCATACCTATAAGTGATACCCATCACTTGTCATTGCCTGAGTTAGTGTCCTGGCACAGTCATGTTTGAAGATGCTGGACAAGTAAGTTAGGAGTTAAAGCAAGTTCACACCACAGACCAGGAGTTAAGAGTAAAGCAAACACAAAGTTTATTGAAAGGATAATAAAGCACCCTGATGGGTGGGACTTCTTGAAGAACAAAGCCAAACAATGGCTCAAGTCTAGGAGACGATATAGTGCATGAACTGACTTAGGGCCAACTATTCCACTAATATTTGTGATTGGTTGTGAATAGTTCCAGAGAGTTAAGTCAGGGAGCAAAGTTGATTTATAAATCCAGGTGTGATGTTGCATAACTGTAATCCCAGAATTCAGGAGGTTGAAACAGGAAGATCACAGTTAGAGGTGCTGTTGCCTTGCAGCTTATGTTGATGCAATTAGAAGAAACAAATATGCAGAAGACAGACTTCCTGAGAGTCTTGACCCCTGTGGTTGCTGTAACTGCATGAAGGCACAAAAGGAAAAGAAATATGAGAATGAGCGGAATCAGACCCAGACCCGGCTGGGTGAAGGGAGCTCCACTTATACTGAAGAACAGCTGCTTGGGGTACAAAGGTAAGCGTGCAATGTGATTAAATTGGTGTTTTTTCTGTAAAGTGTTTAGAAGAGTACTTGGCACAGAGGATGTGCTAAATAAGTATTGACATTATTACTGTCGTTATTGCTGTTGTTATTGAAGTACAATAGTTTCTTTACTTCAAAGGGAAAACTGAGTAGAAGTACAGTGCAATGTGAGCTGTCTGTCCTGCTGCGGCTTTAAGAGAGGCAGAGGAAACCAGCTAGACATCACACATATTTATAGGACATTCTATCCAACAGTCACAGAATACACATTCTTTTCAAGGATACATGGAGTATTTTCCAGGATAGAACATTTCTTAGGCAATAAAACAAGCCTCAATAAATTTTAAAAGATTGAAATCATACACTGTATGTTCTCTGAAATCAATTAACAGGGAAATTTGGGAATTCAGGATTAGTGGAAAGGAGACCATAAACCCCAAAAAACAAATTCTGCACAGAATAAATCACAAGGAGGACTGGAGATTTGGCTCCAGAAGTAGAGTACCCTGCTTTGCAAAGTGTGAAGTCCTGAGTTCAAACCCCAGTCTCACCCAAAGGAAAAAAAAAAAAAAAAGAAATCACAAGGAAAATTAGAAAGTGCTTTGAGCCAGACTCTGGTTGCTCACATCTATAATCCTAGCTCCTTAGGAGGCAAAGATCAGGAGGATTGCAGTTTGAAGCCAGCCCAGGCAAATAGTTTGAGAGACCCCATCTCAAAAAACCCATCACAAAAAAAGGGCTGGTGGAGTGGTTCAAGGTCCCAGTACCACAAAAAACAAACAAACAAACAAACAAAAGAAAGTGCTTCGAGTTGAATGCAAATGATAAAACAAAACATACTAAAACATAGGGGATGTGATACAGATAGTGATCAGGGGGAAATTTATAGCTAAAAATTCTTTTTGTTTGTTTGTTTTTTTAAATACCTCAAATTAATAACCTTATCTTCTGCCTTAAGAAAACTAGAAGCCTGGCAGGTAGCATACACCTGTAATCCCAGCATTCTGGAGCCTGAGGCAGGAGGATCAGGAGTTTGAGGCCATTCTGGGCTACATAGTGGCTGCAAAAAAAAAAAGAAAAAAGAAACTAGAAAAGGAACAAACTATATCCACATAAGCAGAACAAAGGATATAATACAGAGTAGAAGTAAATGAAATAGAAGATAGAAAAATAGAGAAAGTTAAAATCCTAAATTTGTTCTTTGAAAATATCAACAAAATTGACAAACTCTTCACTAGACTGGTCAAGGGAAAAAAAGAGAAGACTCAAATAATTAAAATCAGGAATGAAAGAACATCACTACCAATCTTATAAAAATAATAAAGATTATAAAAGAATACTATGAGCAGTTACATGTTTTATATGTCAAAAAATTATATACCTAAAATGAAATGGATAAATTCTTAGAAAGATACAAACTTCTGAAACTGACTCAAAAAAAAAAAACCCAAAAGCAAAAAACACAGAACACAGAACAGATGAATAGACATACAACAAATAAGGAAACTGAATTAATAATAATTTTTAAAAAATTTCCCACAAAAGCACAGGCTCAGTTGACTTTGGTGAACCCTAACAAACATTAAAAGAAAAATTAACACTTCATAAACTAAATATATATATATACACACACACAATGATTGGGGCATGTTGGTACAGACCTGTAATCTCAGCACTCTGGAGGATCATAAGTTTGAGGCCAGTCTGGGCTACCTAGAGAGTTTCAGGGCCAGCTTGTGCTATGAGACTGCTCTCAAAAAACAAGTAAAAGGAATACTTCCCAACTTATTCTATGAAGCCAGTATTACCATATAAGGGAAACCAGACAAAGACATCGCAGGAGAACAAAACCGTTAACCAATGTACTTTTTGAACATAAATTTAAAAATCTTCTTCAACAAAATACTAGCAAATCAAACCTAGCAACATATCAAAAGGATCATGGATGTTGATCATCCATGATTTATATCTTGCAGTACTGGAATTTATCCCAGTATTGCAAGATTTTTTTAACACAAAAATCAGTCAATGTAATACATGATGTTAATAGAATAAGCAAGAAAAAAATACTCATTTCATTAGAAACAGAAAAAGCATTTAACAAAATTCAACACTCTTCCATGATTTAAAAAAGAAACCGTCAAAAAACAAGGACTAAAAGGTAACTTCCTTAGTCTGATGATGGCCATCTATGAAAAACCCACACCAACCTTATATTTAATGATAAGTGACTGTATGTTTTCTTACCAAGATCAGGAACAAGACAGGTATGTCTACTCTTAATGCTTCCATTAATTTTTCTAGAGGTTCAAGCCAAGGCATTTAAGCCAAGAAAAGGAAATAAAAGACATCCAAATTGAAAAGATAACATGGTCTTGAATACAGAAAATCCTAAGGAATCTGCATGCACACAAAAATACTATTAGAACTAGTAAATAAGTAGCAAAGTTAAAGGATACAAGATCAATATACAAAAATCATTTTTTTGCATACTAGCAATGAAAATCTGGAAATGAAATGAAGAAAATAATTTCAGGCTGAGGGTATATGTAGCTCAGTGGTAGAGTACTTGCTTGCCTGCCATGCATGAGGACCTGGGTTTGATTCCCAATAACACATACACACACACAGAGAAAAAAATCCATTTCTAACTACATCAAAGAGAATAAGATGCTTAGGAATAAATTGAACAAGAGAAGTGCAAAACTTGTACATTAAAAACTATAAAAATAGCGGAAACGCCAGTGGCTCACACCTGTAATCCTAACTACTTGGGAGACTGGAATAAAAAACTATTATTGCAGTGATGAGCAGGAAGCTTAAAATAGGGGAATCTGTCCAGGCTGGCCTGGGCAAAAACTGAGACCCAAGTTCCAAAATAACGAGAGCATAGAGGCATGGTTCAAAGCAGTAAAGTGCCTGCCTCATACGTGTAAAGCCCTGAGTTCAAACCCCAGTACCACGAAAAAACAAACAAATGACCAAAAAACACAACTATAAGATTACCTTAAAAGAAATTAAAAGAGCCAGGGGTTGGTGGCTCACACCTATAATCCTAGCTACTTGGGAGGCTAAGATCAGGCTACTTGGCTCAGTTTGAAGCCAGCCTGGGCAAATAGTTCTCAGGATCCCATCTCCAAAATAACCAGAGCAAAATGGACTGGAGGTTTGGCTCAAGTGGTAGAATGCCTGATTTATAAGCATGAAGCCCTGAGTTAAAACCCCAGTCCCAACAAAAAAAGAAAAAAGAAATTAAAGAAAACCTAAATAAATAAGAAGATATCTTATGTTCACTGACTAGAAGGCTTAATATTGGTATTATGATAATAATTCTCCAATTGATTAGCAGATTCAACACAATCCCTACCAAAATCCCAGCTGTCTTCTTTTGCAAAAATTGACAGGCTTATCCTAAAATTCATACAGAAGTTCAAGGGACCCAGAATATCCAAAACAGTTTTGAAAGTTAGAAAGTTGGAGGATTTATACTTCCCAATTTCAAAACCTAGTACAAGGCTGCAATAATGAAGATATTTGGGCTAACATAAGGATAGACATACAGATCAATGGAATAGAATCGAGAGTCCAAAATTAACTCTTGTATTTATTTTTGACACGCGTGCCAAGACTTTTTTGTCTTTTTTTTTTTATTTTCTCTTTTTTGTGTGTGTGCGTATTAATTATACACAGGGGTTTCACTGTGATATTTCCATACATGAAGATAATATACTCTGGTCACATTTACTCCATTACACTTTCTTATTTTCTTTCCCCCTTTTTTGAATAATTTTCAATGGGTTTCATTATTCTATTTTCTTCTTCTTCTTCTTTTTTTTTTTCCCAGTATTGGAGGTTGAACTCAGGGCCTCATGCTTGCGAGGCAGGAGTTCTACCACTTGAGCCACTCCACCAGCCCCGTTACTCTATTTTCTTACATGCATATGAAGTACTTCCATCCTGTCCACCACTATCCCCACCAAGACATTGCCAGGTGCTGGTGACTCAGTTACTACTAGTTACTCAGGAGGCAGAGATCAGGAGAATCTCAGTTTGAAGCCAGCCCAGGCAAATAGTTCAAGAGGCCCTGTCTCGAAAAACCCATCACAAAAAAAGGACTGGTGGAATCTGGTGGAGTTGCTCAAGGTATAGGCCCTGAGTTCAAACCCCAGTGCTGCAAAAAAAAAAAAAAAGACATTGTAATGGGGGAAAAAACAGTGTTCAACAAATTTTGTTGTACATGAAACAAATGAAAGAGAATGAACTTGGACCCTGATCTCAAACCATATACAAAAATTAATTCAAAACCTAATGTTAAGATCTAAGTATAAGAGCTAAAACTATACAGCTCTCAGAAGAAAACATAAATGTAAATCTTCATGACATTGGATTAAGCAATGACTTTTTTTTTAGATGTGGCACCCAAAGCATAAGTGACAAAAGAAAAAAAATATGTAAATTAGATGTTATTAAAATTTAAAAGTGTTGGGATGGGGATGTAGCTCAGTGGTAGAGTGCTTGCTTAGCTTGCCTGAGACTGTGGGTTCAGTCTCCAGCACTACACACACAAAGAAACCTTAAAACAAAACAAAATCTTTTGTACTTTAAAGGATACCATCAAGAAAGTGAAAACTGAGCCTAGTGCAATGGTGTGTGTCTATAATCCCAGCTATTTGGGGAAACTGAGGCAGGAAGAGCTGAGTTTGAGGCCAGCCTAGCTTATGTAGACTCCCATCTCAAAAAAATTAAAAAAACAAAAAAAGTGAAAAGTCAACCCACAGAATGGGAGAAGATATTTTCAAAATATATAGCTGATGACGGACTTTTTCTCTTTTCTTTTTGGCAGTACTGGTGTTTGAGCTCAGGGTCTCACATTAGGTAGGAAGGTGTTCTACCACTTATGTCATATTCCCAGCTGCTTTTTCTTTGGTTATTTTTGAGACAGAGTTTCAAGTTTTTGCTGGGGAAGGCCTACACCTGGATCCTTCTACTTCTGCTTCCTGCATAGCTGGAATTATAGGCATGCCCTACCATGTCCAACTTTTTGTTTTGAGATGAGGGTCTCAATAACTCTCCCAAACATCCATACCACCTCAAACCTGAATCCTCCCAATCTCATCTTCCAAATAGATAGGATTATAGGCATGAGCCACTGTACCTGGCCTTGATGAGGGATTTTTATCTACAATATATAAGGTACTGATACTTTTCTACTTACAATGGAGTCATATCCCAATAAACTCACCACAAATTGAAATTATTTTTAAGCAGAAAATGTATTTCATACAATTAACCTACTGAATATCATAGCAACACAGTACACTATAGAGTATCAGTTGTTTTTGTTTTTTGATCTGAGGTCTTGCTATGTTGCCCAGGTTGGCCCTGAACTCCTGGGCTCAAGCGATCCCCCCATTTCAGCCTCCCAAGTGTCTAAGGCATTGCACTCAGCTGGAACGGTATCCTTGTTTACCCTTGTTACAATGCAGCTGAATCAGAGCCGAGGCTTTCTGTTGCTGGCTAGCATGACAAGAAAGTAATGTATAGCATATGCTAGCCCAGGAAAAGAACAAAATTCAAAGTACTGTTTCTACTGAATGCTTATTGTTTTCATATGAAAAAGTTGAATCATTATAATACAGGGACTATTTGTACTCTTAAAATTAAACAATAGAACTGGTGTAATGGCTCAGGTGGTAGAGTGCCTGCCTAGCAAGTATGAGACCCTAAGTTCAAACCCCAGTGCCATCAAAAAAAAAAAAAGAATGATAAAAAGACAAATATGACCCATTTGAAAAAATGGGCAAAAGATCTGAATAGACAATAGTCCAAAAAATGTTATACAAGTAATTAATAAGCATATGAAAAAATACTCTTCATTAGTCATTAGAAAAATGCAAATCAAAACTACACTGAGCTGAGCATGGTGGTGCCACCTGTAATCTCAGCACTCAGGAGATGAGGCAGGAGGATCATGCGTTTGAGGCTAGTCTTAGTTATAGCAAGTTCCAGACTAACCTGGGCAATGTAGGGAAACCCAGTCTCAAAAAACAAAAAAAGGGCTGGGAATGTAACCCAGCAGTACAGCGCTTGCCTAGCATGTACAAGGTCCTGGATTCTATCTCGTGCACCATAGAGGGAAAAAAAAAAAAAAACAACAATTTCTGAGATCAAAAAGTTCAAAATTTGCCATTCTAATCTAACTACTAATCTATACTTCTCACATTTATCTGTTATGAATCAGTCTTCAAAAAATTGTTAGTTTAAAAAAAAAAAAGCAAGATGAGGAAAAGTGATTGTTTCCTTTAGGTAAGGAAAAAACTGGGAGTTGTATATGGATTCTCTATAAACAGCATTCACAGAACACTTCTAATGGTGGTTGTCCCTGGGGTGGGGTATGAAGGGACAGGGAATGAGGAAGCAAGAAAGATTTTTCATTTGGTGTACTTTAGCACTGTTGGTTATTTTTCTTCTACCGTGTGTAGATACTAACTTTTAAAATGCATGCAGTTAAAAAACATAGCCATAAGAAAAACAAGAGAAATAAAAAAAAAAATAGGGTAGTGCTGATTCTTCTGTGGTTCATCTCGTAAGATCTTAGTATGAACTTCAATGTAAGAGTTAATACTTGTCCTACCCACTTACAGGAATATAGGAAGAATAAAATAGTAGATGTAAAAGTACTTTGAAAGGCATTAAGGTCTGGTGGGAGGACTTGAATGTTTCACTAGTGGGTTTGCTTGTCTCACAGATGGGAGGGATGTATTATTTGGCTGTTCATTGTATAAAGGGGCCTTTGGAGATATTAATATTTCTGATTTTTTTTTAGGATCAAGAAGTGCAGAAATTACTATGAAATTCTGGGAGTTTCTCAAAATGCTAGTGATGAAGAGCTTAAGAAAGCTTACAGAAAACTTGCCCTAAAATTTCATCCTGACAAAAACTGTGCTCCTGGAGCAACAGATGCTTTCAAAGGTCTGATCCTGAACTGCTGCTTAATTTTGCCCTTTTTGTCCCAAGCACTTGAGAGTGAACCAGGGTCTTGTGCATGCTAGACAAGCACTCTTACCACTACTACTGAGCTACAACCCTGCCTTTTTTGAAACAGGGTCTTGCTATGTTTTGCTCAGGCTGGCTTCAAACTCAGTATCCTCTGCCTCAGCCTCCTGGGTGCTGAGATTATAGGCGTGCACCATACCAAGCTGTAATTCTTCCCTTTTGATGGTTGTTCAGTAGCAAGTTGTGTTTAGCCTTTCCTGTAGTTGATTTATTTATTTATTTATTTATTTTTGGTGGCACTGGGGTTTGTACTCAGGGCTTCACACTTGCAAAGCAGGCACTCTATCGCTTGAGTCAACCTCCAGTCCATCTTGCTCTGGTTATATTGGAGATGGGATCTCCAGAACTCTCTGCCTGGGCTGGCCTCAAACTGCAATCATCCTGATCACAGCCTCCCAAGTAGCTAGGATTACAGGTGTGAGCCACCATTGTCCAACTCCTGCAGTTGATTTATAAGGCCATTAAGCAAGGTTTTCCTTGCACACCTCTTAAATATTAATAATCAGCATACCTCCTTCTTGTTTTCATCTACTTACTTTAATATTTTTTGTAAAAAAGATTTATTTGTAACACCCTTTGGGATCATTAATTCAGACAACATTTATTGAAGACCTTCTATGTGCCAGGTACCAGACTGAATAAAACAGACAGGGTTCTTGTGGAACTTAGAAACTGGTGGTTGCCATAAGTAGGACCCAGGCATCACTCCCAAACTTCTGTGACTGTGGAACTCTGCTTATGAAGCCTCTGTTATTTACATGTTCATATGAAAAAGTTGTATGTAAGGCTGGTGAAATGGTTCAAGTGGTAGAGTGTCTCCCTATCAAGTGTGAGGCCCTGTGTTCAAACCCCAGTCCTGCCCAAAAAATAAAAACAAAAACAAAAAACATTTAAAGGAAAGAAAGCTGTGTATAAAGGACATGAATACAGCTGGTGGCTCATGTCTGTAATCCTAGCTACTCAGGAGGCCCTGAGTACCACAGTACCACAAAAAAAAAAACCCCAGTGCCACACACACACACAAAAAAAAGGACATAAATATAGTTATAGATCAAAATTTTTTCTGCTGATTTCCATTATATTTTCTTAAAAAATATTTGGACTTATAACACACGAATACACATCTTACTTTAGTGCTTTCCCAGGCCAGATGCTGGTGGCTCACATCTGCAATCCTAGCTATTCAGGAGGCAGAGATCAGTAGGATCATGGTTCCAAGCCAACCCGGGCAAATACTTCATGAAACCCTAGTTCAAAAATACCCACCACAGAAAAAAGTCTGCAGAGTTGCTCAAGTGGTAGAGCACCTTCCTAGCAAACTTAAGGCCCTATGTTCAAACTCCAGTACCACAAAAAAAAAAGAAAAATTAAGTAGATAAATGAATGAATAAAATTTTACAAAAGAGCTTCCCCCACAGTGAAGTCATTGATTCAGGCAAGAATCAACAGTGTATGCTAAACAATAGGATGATAGGTTGTTGTTTCATGCCCTCAAAGTATCACCCCACAGAATACTGACTTACAAAGGAGAAAATTTCCTTTATAATGGAGACATCTGGCTGTCACCCCTTCAACCCAGTGATCCAACTGAACATCACTAATACTGGTAACTAACATTATGTGGTACAACACTAGTATGGTATTTTTGCCCAAGTGTTTGACCTGAATCTAATAATGAGGAAATTAAAAAAAGGAATATACTTTTTATTCTTAAAAAAATTCAATATAATGAAAATCAAAAAAGCTATAGATTGTTCTAGATTGAAGAAAGTAGAGATTTAAAACCAAATGCAATACATGAATCTTTCATGGATGCATCAAATGACAATGAATTGGTGTTCATTTTCTTAGCTATGATAATGGTATTGTGATATAAAAAAAATAGTTGGGTGCTAGTTTCCTTGTTTTTGTTATTTGTTTTCCGGTGCTGTGGATTGACCCCAGGGCCTGGAATTTGCTAGGCAAGCACTCTACCACTGAACTAGACCCCAAACCCTGACTGGGGTAGCAGTATGGCAAATGCTAACAACTGATCAATCAAAGTGAAGGGTATGCAGTTTTTTGGTTTTGGTCCTATGTTTTAAGATAGGGTTTCACTGTGTAGGCCAGAGTTGTCCTGTAATCCTGATCTCCCTGCTTCAGTATCCTGAGTGCTGAGATTACAGTCATGTATCAGCAGGTCCAGATTATATATATATATATATATATATATATATATTCTATTTTTTTCACCATTTTTATAGGTTTAACGTTTCAAAAAAGAATAAAAAGTAAAAGTAAAGATAGATCTGAGGATTTTTTCTTTTTCTTTTTTTTTTTGTGGTACTGGGGTTTGAACTCACAACTTCATGCTTGCTACTAGGCAGGCACTACTTGAGTCACTCTGCCAGCCCAGATCTGAAAATTTTTAATCAATATTTACCTCAGAGGACAGCTACCTTTGTTGATTTGCATTATGAATCTAATGCTCCCCACAATGTCTCCAAGAAAACATAGATAACCCACGTTCTCTTTACACCTCCATGTTAGGTTTTTCACAGACTAATACCATTTCTTTGGGAAATTTGCTACATTTCAAAGAATGTGCTGTTTAAGCAACTTGTTTAAGTTTTGGGTTTTTTTTTTTTTTGGCTTGGTTATTATTGATGTAAATACTAACACAATTTTGTAGAAGAATCATAAAGTGCTCTTTCTGTGATTCTGATAGTGTTGGCACTAGCAGGTATTTGAATTACAGGTAGAGTATGGGGATGTCTTAAAAGATTTTTCTTGCTGTGCACTGGTGGCTCATGCCCATAATCCTAGCTACTTGGGAGGCAAAGATCAATAAGATTGTGATTCCAAGTCAGCCTGGGTAAATAGTTCTTGAGAGATTATCTCAAAAAAACTCAGCACAAAAAATAGCTGGCAGAGTGGCTCAAGCAGTAAGATCACCTGTCAAACAAGCAGCAAGTGTGAGGCTCTGAGTTCAAACCCCAGTGCCACCAAAAAAAAAAAGAGAGAGAGAGAAAGATTTTTTTGAGGTTTCTGTTGATTGGTGATATTGATTGTATATTTAAATGAAATTAGGCAAAGTTTGCACATTTGTGGATAGGGAAGGAAAGAAAATATATATAATCTATTCTGTCTTTGATCCCTCATGGAGACATTACAAGTACTTTTTTTTTTAATTGGTAGTACTGGAGTTTGAACTTATACTTGCCACTCCATTAGCCTGCAAGTATATGTCTTAATTTCAAAAAATTTTTCCCAAAAATAAGCTGAAATAAGACTATGAGGAGGACTTTATTTTTAGCCAAGCAGAAAGGTTTTTACTGATGATTCTATTCAGGAGATTATTGTTGACTTTAGTTAGAATACTACTGCTACTATTTATGTGTGAATTGTTTCCAATTGTAAAGTTCTTTTTTTTTTTTTTTTTTGTGGTACTGGGGTTTGAACTCAGGGCCCCATGCTGGCTAGGCAGTAGCTCTTCCACTTGAGCCACTCTACTTTTAACAGTTCCTTCTAGTGAGTTTCACTGTGCTATTTCCATACATATATAATGTAACTTTGATCATATTTACTCCATCCTGCTTTTATCACCTTCTTCTCCCCCCACCAACAACTGGTTTCTCCCTAGTAGTCCCACTTTTATAACCATGTCATATTGTTATTTTTTATTTTTATTTACTTTTTTTTTCGGGACTGGGGTTTGAATTTAGGGCTTCATGCTTACAAAACAGGCATTCTACAGCTTGAGCTACACCTCCAGCCCATTTTACTCTGGTTATTGTGTGTGTGTGTGTGTGTGTGTGTTCCTTGTCATTCAACCCCTGGTCTTCATGAATGCTAAGCAAGCTTTTTACCTCTGGGCTAAGTCCCCAACCCCAAGAACCATTTTTAATGAATGAGAGTGAAAGCCAGTTGAAGAACACTTCCCAACATGTCTGAGACTTGCAGTGACTGGCAACCTGAACTGAGGGGTGAGGTCCTGATTTTTAGGTCAGCTGGGATAACTCAAGAACTCTTTTTCTTTTTTTTTTCAGATAAGGTGTTGAATTTTTGCCTGGGACTAGCCTTGCACTGTGATCCTCCTACCCTATACTTCCCCTGTAGTCCTGTAAGGTGCTTAAGAATTCTAAAGAGTTTACTCTCACTTCAGCAGCAATTTTTAGTTTGTTTGAGTCCAGTGCTGGTTTTGGCTTACCAAAGTAAATCATGGACGATTTCAAGGCCAAGTAAGCACTTTGGGGAACTTGGCGGACTTAAGCATATCTCCTTGGAATCCTGTGAAGTTGTCCAGTACCAATCTGCTTTGGCCGCATTGCTGCTGTTGTGATCACTCTCAGCCCATAGCAGAGACTGTGCTCATGTGCTACTTCTTGTTGGTTGCAGCAATAGGAAATGCCTTTGCAGTCCTGAGCAATCCTGACAAGAGACTCCGCTATGACAAATATGGAGATGAGCAGGTGACTTTCACTGCACCTCGAGCCAGACCTTATAATTATTACAGGGATTTTGAAGCTGACATCACTCCAGAAGAGCTATTCAATGTCTTTTTTGGAGGACATTTTCCTACAGGTTAGTTTCCCAAAATGATGATTTTTTACAAAAAAAAATTTCTTAACTTACAGCTCTCAGCAAGCTACTGTTTGGAGATACAACTAGAGCTACAGTGGTTTGGTGGAAACAGCAAGAATTTGCAATCAGTTGAACAGTAGTTTGAAGCAAATTTCTACTCTTCAGCTGTGCATAATATTGGCCAAATCATTTAGTCTCTCTCACTCTAGTTGATCACCTGAAAAAATGGAGCTGATAAGAATATTTACTTTGCAGAGTTGCTGTGAGGATTAGAGGGAGTTTTTTGTTTGTTTTTTTGTGGTACTAAGGTTTGAACTCAGGGCCTCACAGGTGCTTTACCACTTGATCCATGCCTTCAGCCCAAGATTTGATACGTTTCAGTGCTTTGTACATCAATAGAAAAATGCCTGTTATTATTTCATTATTACAAAATAGCAGTTAGAAGGATAAGTTAGAAAAGTTCCCACACTTACTATTTGGAAACACAAAGGGATGGGGGATGGGAAGGGAGGGTAATGGGAAGGTAATTATGATCAAGGTTTATGATATATATGTATAAAATGTCACAATGAAATCCACTATTTCGTACAATCATTATAAACTGAAAAGAAAAGTACCCCACAGAGATTTGGAAGTTGGTATAATTCAAGGCTCAGGAAGTAAATTGAATATTTTTTGTGGTGCTGGTTATGGAACCCAAGGCCTCATGCATACGAAAAAAGTCCTCTACCACTGAGCCAAACCCCCCAACCCTATAAATTGAATTTAATGAGCTGCTATTAAAGATACCAGTGACACGAATCTGATATTGAGCACAGAAGGAGACATGAGCATGCCAGTTATAATTCATGGCCCAAATGCTCTCTCTCTTTTAGCCTTTCAGGGTTCTTGCCTTCACTAATTTTTTTTTTTTTTATACTAGGGTCTCACTATGCAGCCCAGGCTGGCCTCAAACTGGAAATCCTTCTGCCTCTGCCACTTCACCTGTTTAAATGAAGTCTGGAGACTTAGGCACATTCCATACCCAGTTGGCTTACTTGACTTACCTACTGTTTTATTTTTTGACTGACTACAATAAGTCAATACTCTGTTCTCAAATAACCTAGTTGGGAGCAAAGACCTTGAAAAAGGCCAAAAAGGAGTATTTACCCATATCCTTTACTATTTGCTTTCTTTCTTTCTTTTCCAGGAAACATTCATATGTTCTCAAATGTGACAGATGACACTCACTATTACCGCCAGCGGCACCGACATGAGAAGACACAGACACGGAAGGAAGAGGAAGAAGATAAACCTCAGGTGCCTAGGGAAGAGAGGAGCTGCTGCTCATAAACAGTTTTCTTGAGCCTACCTCAGTGGTGTATAATCTAGTTCTAGAAGTTAAACCTGAGATGTGTTGCTAAAATGTGCTTTAGGGAAGCAGAGGCCATAAGAACAGCTGGATGATTGGTCTGAATAGGCTGGAATGGTAGCCCCGCCCCCACCCATTCATTCTTTTGTGGCTCTCCCAGGATCTCAGTTTCCCTGTGAGGCCGTCTTAATGAAGGTTTTCTTGACTATAGAAAATAGAAACCACCTTCAAAATGTTCAGAACTAAAAAGGGTGCAGGGTGAGGAATCAAGGGGCTCTCATGAAGCCCAAGGGCCAGAAGCATAGCGGGCCTCCTGACAAGCAGGAACCAGGAACTGGCTGCTCTCACGCTCCCAGGCAGTTGTGCTCACCATCGCGATTTGAAGCCAGATTATGTGTTCCCACCACTCTGCCTCTGTTTTGTTCTTTCTAAGTAGTCTGGCTTATTCTCCTTCCTCTTGCAAATAGCCAGTTCCCAGTGCCTGAGAGTATGTGTCCTTTCCTCAAGTAATGTTCTAGTGGTGAAGGGTAAAAAACCTCAACCCCAAATTCCCAAGGAGGAGAATTTGATTACCCCTGCTAGAGTTAGATGTCCCTCAGACAGTCAGCTATGGCCAAAGCAAGAGAGTTGCATAACACTCACATGACTCCTAGCGCCCTACCCCTGGGAGAGTCATGGACCGCTTACCTAAAGGTATCTGTGTATTGGTCTTAGAAAAGGGGGCTGCAGGAGGTTTACTGAGTATAAGTCCGGGTTGTGGGTGGGCCTCCTTCAGACTTCTCAGCAGAGAGAATACAGTTTGCTTGGTATTTCCAGCTGAAAGTATAGCCTTCCCAGAAAAGTCTTGGGCTTTGTAGACAGTCCTGTGCATTGCATTGGTAATTTGTATTTTCTTTGGAATGTCTTTGTATTTATATTTTAAATAAGGCTTATATTGATGAAAAACACTTACACCAAATACTTTTTTTTTTTTTAGACTACATATTCTGCATTTATTCAGTTGCTTCCAGTTCTCGTGATTGTGATAATATCTGTCATTACTCAGCTGCTGGCTGCTAATCCCCCATACAGTCTATTCTATAAATCGTAAGTCAGTTATTTATAAATCTTTCTTGTGTGTGTGTCAGTACCTTGCTTTGTAGCCTAGGCTGACCTCCAACTCACAATCCTCCTGCCTCCGCCTCTCAAGTGCTAGGATTAGAGGTATGTGCCATCATGCCCAGTTTATAAATATTTCTTAGTAACAATGTGGAAGATGAAAGACTTGAAGGTTTTGTTGATATATTACTAACATTTTATTTCACCTTTCATACAAAACACTGATTTTATGTTTAAAGGAACGGCCCAGTAGTAAAAGGCAGACTCAAAAATACTGAAGGCAGTTTCCTGTGCTCTTCAGATGGATTATTTTGTTCTACAGTGACATCATCTGGTTAGCTTTAGAATGGCAACAACTGGTTTCTGAAGGATCAATAAAATAATTTACAGTTCAAAGTAAATCTTTATCTTACCATAGTAGAGTTGGAAAGGAACCCCATAAGCTTTGAAGTAGTATTGCTGGATCCCTGTTGGCTTAGAATGATGGTAATTGGGACTAGTGATTATTTTCCATTTTAAAAATTGTATAAGAACTTTTGTAAATGCCACAGTGTACCCTCACCCAGCACAACAATAAAAAAATATATAAATAAAATTTTTAAAAATCACCAATAAATAAATAAATAAAAATTGCAAGGATGGAACATTTATTAGCCATAGTTAAACTATGCTATCAGCTTCTTTGCTTTTGCTGAAAATATAGAAATTCATTGTAGTCTTATTATACATATAGATTATATAAACTCTCATAGGAGTTTTTTAATTCTTTTTTGTTGGTTTGTTGGTTTGATTTGATTTGGTATTGGCATTTGAACTCAGGGTTTCAAACTTGCTAGGTAGGAGATCTACCACTTGAGCCATACCCCCAGCTCTTTTTGCTTTGGTTATTTTTGGGATAGGGTCTTGAGTTTTTGCCTGGGTCAGTCTGGACCATGATCCTTTTGTTTATTCTTCCTGACAGGAGCATGCCACCACCCCTAGCTATTGGTTGAGATGGGGGTCTTGATAATGTATTGCTTGAGTGGGCCTCAAATCCTGATTCTCCTGTAGTTCATTCTATGTAGCTGGTCTCAAACTCACAATCTTCCTACCTTAGCTCCCAAGTACAGAGATTATTGGCATATACCCCATAACCAGCTCTTGAATTCTTCAGTTGATTTGGTTGTCAAAATTTGGTCCTTAGACCAACTGGCAATAAATCAGCTGGCAACATGTTAGAAATAGAAACTGTTAGGCTCCCCTCCACAACTAATTGAATCAGAAATTCTGGGGGAAGGCTGGAGGTATGGCTCAAGTAGTTGAGCACCTCCCTAGCAAGTACAAACCTTTGAGTTCAAATCTCAGTACCACCAAAAAAAAAAAAACCCCAAAACACTGAGGGTAAGGACCAACAATCTGAGTTCTAATAAGCCCTGCAGATAATTCTGGCCCACACTAAAGTTTGGAAATCACTGGATTTTCTTAATTAATAAAGAGTTATGAATTCTTATTACTCATTATTATAGTCTAATGGACAGAAATCTTAAAAAGTGGAATTTATGCAACACAGCAGGAAAGTCTCTGTTGGTGATCACTATAGGTTGAAGACTATCATTCTAGGTCAGTATCTTCCTTTTACAGAAAACAAAGCTGAGGCTCTTGCCATCGGGTCACAGTGGCCTGATGCCTGCTACTTTCCAATTTCCCATGGTTTTCTAAATGGGACTTTGACCTCCTTCTTGATAGGTCAATGGAGTACACACTAACCCCTTCCTTCTGCTTCTGCTAACCCCTTCCCAAAGTGAAGTGAGAATAATCATGGCCTGAGCTCCAAGATGTTTGGCAAGATCCTTAAATAGGTTAAAGGAAAGGATGCGGAAAGTCCAAATATTGTTCCTTTATGTGGAATTTGTCACCAGGTTTTGGTGTCTCACACCTATAATCCTAGCTACTTGGGAGGCAGAGATCAGGAGGATCAAGGTTGAAAGACAGCCCGTGCAAATAGTTTGTGAGCCCCTATCTCAAAAATACTCAACACAAAAAAGGACTGATAAACTGGCTCAAGTGATAGAGAGCCTGCCTAGCAAGTGTGAGGCCCTGAGTTCAAACCCCAGTACCACCAAAATAATAATAGTAATTATAATAATAATGTGGAATTTGTTCAGTTTGAACAAAATAAGCTTGGAGTTTGCACATTGCTGTCATATTGAATTTGAGCTGCCTTCTATATGTCCTTATGTTTAGAGTTTAGTCAACTCAGACTAAATGTTTCTGAGCATCAGATATCATTGGATGTCGTAGGCCCGTAGAGAGCCCTGAAGCATCATTGAAATCCTCTTAAGTTTTTTGCCATTCTCACTTAGCAGCTATGTATGAAGTACTTTTTATCATGTGTTAAAAATGGGTTCTAGGTTGGAGCAAGTTACATGTTTTTTTGTAAGTAGTTTAACACTAATCAGTTCATGCAAGCAGCATTTACCAGTAGCCTATTCCTTCAGGTACCATGCTAGGTCCCACACAATAAAATAAACAAATTATTTCTTTATCTTTTTTTCAGAAAGAGTCTTGTTATGTAGCTCAGGTTGGCATTAAACTCCTGATCCTCCTGCTGCCACCTCCCAAGTGCTGGGGATTATAGGCAAGTGCCACAATTTCTGACGCAAATTGGGTTTGTTTTGGTTTTGGAGGGGATTTTGTTTTGTTTGGTTTTGTTTGGTTTTGGTTTTGGCTTTGTTTTATTTATTTATTTTTTTGTGGTAGTGGGATTTGAACTTAGGGCCTTGTGCTTGCTAACCAGGCACTCTACCATTTGAGCCATTCCACCAGCCCTCAAATTGTTTTTAAGCATTCAGCATTCTACTTTTCTCATAGAAAGACACATAAGAGAAGAGAATGCCTGAATAGAATAAACTAAATATTCTAATGTAGAATTCACAGTATGAACTTGCTCATATAATGATAATGATGACTTTCTACTTACTACTTGGCTAGGGGAATAATAAGTGTTGGTTATATTAGCCAATGGTGTCTGCATCTGCCCTGTAGAGAAGTGATCATGATATGGAGACCAAAGCTAAGAATGAGATTGCCAAGTGCTACAAGCTTACCTGAGCTCCTCTCTGTTTCAGGACCTTGGGCTATACCATTTCTAGAGAAACTCAGAACCTGCAGGTACCTTACTTTGTGGATAAAAACTTTGACAAGGCCTACAGAGGAGCTTCTCTACGTGATCTGGAGAAAACAATAGAGAAAGATTATATTGATTACATCCAGACGAGTTGTTGGAAGGAGAAACAGCAAAGTAAGATGTTGTCAAAGGAACTTTTGCTGGTAGCTATGACCACCAGCCTGAGGTGTCCCCAGCTTCCTGATTCCTCTCTCTCCTTGTTTGGGTTGTATGCGTTTATGTGAATAGAGACAGAGGACAGAGGCCCATTCAGGATACTGTGAAAGAAGGGAAAGTTTATTGACAAGATGCATGTGGTCAGGACTTGGAAATCTTAGGAACTTAGGCAACATTCATCATCTGCCTGTCTGTCTCTTTGAGTCTCTACCTCTCTCTGCTGTTACCTTCCCTTGTCTCCTCCAGTCTTCCTTCCTCCCTCCCTTCCTTTCTTTCTTCCTCTCTCCCTCCCATGGTCCATTGTGGTCACTACCCTCCTTGTTGCTCTCCCAGCATCCTTAAGCCCCAGTCATTGGCCTCTTTCTACATCACAAGCTTTCTCATGAAGTTCTTAGTGTCGTCTGGTTTGATCCACAGTTTCTGAATTCCATATTCACGATGGAAATCTGATTGAGCCAGCCTAACTTTTTGAGCCAAACCAAACATTTAGAGGTTGCTGGTATTGAGTTAGGTGTCCACTACACTCACATCTAGTCAGCTGTGGACACAGAACAAGAGTGACCCCCTAGGTCTGTCCTTTCAGTAAAATGAATGTAAGCAGGCCTGCAATTCTCTTTCCCTCTGGAGATTGGGGATGACAGTATCTGCAACTTGGCTTACAACTCCAGTTGTTACTAGGGAGTGTTGGCAATTTACAGTGGAAGTCCTGTTTGTCTGCCAGCAGCTTTACTTTGTATCCCACTTGAATTATACACACAAATTACACACACACACACACACACACACACACAATTACTAACTGCATCTTTGCAGCTTTGGTTGCTTTTTCAAAGCAATTGTAACTTAAATAGTGGGTATCATTAAATACCTGTCTAACTGGGCACCAGTGGCCCATGCTTATAATCCTGGCTACTTGGTAGGATGAGATTGGGAGGATTACGGTTTGAAGCTAGCCTGGGCAGATAGTTTTCAAGACCCCCATCTCCAAAATAACCAGAGCAATATGGACTGGAGGTGTGGCTCAAGCAGTAGAGTGCCTGCTTTGCAAGCACAAAGCCCTGAGTTCAAACCCCAGTCCTACCAAAAAAAAAAAAAATCAGGAAACAGCCTAGTGCAATGCTGTCTATAGTCCATAGTGAGAGACTGTTGCACAAAAAAAAAAAAAAAAAAAAAAAAAAAAGGAAAGAATTTGTGACCAAGATTAAAAGCCTTAGGCTAAAGGCTAAAAAGAAGTATATATGTGGATCCAAATCAAGGTGAAAGCCACAGTATATGTTCTAAACATCTCATTGTTCTGGACACTAGGAGGGCTTTTAATTTATTTTTTTCTGCCAGAACTGGATGAAAATCTGCATTTCATAGTCTTAATGCATACACACCACATTCTCTGTAACAATAAATTATAGAACTATGCAGCTGAGTATAGTGGCTCAAATGTGTAATCCCAGCTATTTGGGAGGTGCAGAGCAGGAAAATCAAGGCCAGATTAGGCAAAAAATGAGCATGACCCCATCTCAATGAACAAGTCATGTGTGGTGGTACACACTTGTGGTACGAGCTTCATGGGAAGCCTTAGGTAGGAGAACCACAGTCTGAAGCTGGTCCTTTGCAAAAGCACACAACTCTTTGTGAAAAAAACTAAAGCAACAAAGGGCTGGGGGGTGTGGCACAAGTGGTAGAGCACCTACTTAGTAAGCTAGAGGCCCTGAGTTCAAATTCCAATATCCGCCCCCCCCCACACAAAAAAAAGACGTAGAACTATGCAAAGAGTTCACAATAAGGATTGCATTGAAGATGGTTTCTAAGCTTACGTTCCCATCCATTTGAGACCTGGTTTCAAAACTGTGGCACTCTCCAGGTACAAGTAAAATTCTGATGAGTAAGCATGATGTGTGCATGATGTGTGTTCACAGGTTCCAAATGGGGGTTGTCAGCAACATACCCCTTCAAAGTCTATTTCTGGCATTTGAGTACAATGGCTGTTAGGAGCTTCCACACTACCCAGTGCCATTTGAGAACAGGCAGCATCTGCCCTCTGAATTCAGCAGCAAGTGCAGCCAGCAAGGTTAAATTTAGCACTTAGAGCTTGTAAAAATAAACCCACTTGAGAACAAAGTTAACTCTTGGCAAAATACCAAATGGAAATTGTTTTTATTAAAGTTAGCCATTGTCTTTTTTTAAATCTTTTATTTATTTCTTTTCTCTTCCTTAGAATGCTTAATCTGGGTGAACTTTTATGGGTAATCCCTGACTATAAACATTAATTTCCCTGTTTACTCCTTCACTACTGCATCTGTATAATAAAACTGATGCCCGGGGAAGTGGCCATGCCACCAGGCTGGGCAGGACAAAAGTAACAGGCAAGAACTGTCTTCTGGCATAGTCCAGCTGAGCTGAGATCCTGGCCCTGACTGGCTGAGGAACACTTCTTTCCATGCCCTTGAGCAGAGTAACAAAGTAGGTAGAAACCCAGGCTTTGAAATGGGCAAAGGATTAACTTCCTCCTGGAGCAGTTATGGATAACAGGTGACGGGGTGGGTATAACTCTTAGCACAGTGTCTAGCACATAATAAGCACCTGATTTCTGGTGAAGCCCAGGCTTTGCATGGCCTTGTACTGTAGATGAAGTGACTCTGTCTCATGGGGCTGGATCATGGGGATAGTTGGGACTTGCTGGGGGACTTTCCAGCTGTCAGACTCTAGTCTGGACTCTTGTGCAGTATTCTTGGGAGAGGCTCTGGGACTTGCTTCTCTTGGTAGTTTGCCAGAATCAGTTTACCTTTAAAGTTCAACACTCTGTCCATTTGTAACCATGACCTTCGGGGCAAGGAGACATTTTGTTAAGGAGAAAATGTGGCTGGGGCCTGGCTCAAGTGGTAGAGCACTACCTAGCAAGTATGAAACCCTGAGTTCAAACTTCAGTACTGCCCCCCCAAAAAAGAAAAAAAAGGTGTTCTTGCTAGGTAGGCACTCTACTATGCAATGTGATGTTTGAGAAAAGCACTCATAGACGTGCAGTTATCTTTCATCAGCTGATATAGAGTTCCTTAGGTAGAAAATATTTAATGTTCTCTGGAATGGGACTTCAGGGAATGAGGCATTTAGAAAAGGTCAATAAGCAAAAACACCTAAGGAAATTGTTTCAACAAAGAGCAAAGCTACAGAATTGGCTCCATATACTGGTATAACTGAGACTCTAAAGGCCCAAGGGGTAGATTGATTTCATGAAGACCTGCTTAATTTTTTAAGTCAGTGCTTTGTGCTGGCAAGGCAGGTGCTCTACCTCTTGAGCCACACCTCCAGCCCCCTTGGAGGCCTTCTGAATAGGTTTCACAGGCCAGCAAAGCTTGAGAAATGGAATTAGTGCTAAGGGCTGGGCAGGACACAGAAGCAGACTTTTCATTTGGGTGCAGCACATGATCCTTCATGAAACCCTGTCACCTGCAAGATGACTGTGCCAAGGCAGGCCCTGGCTAGCAGACACCGCAGGCACCCTCGCCAAGGGTGAGAGCACATTGTTCTGTTGCCTGGGAGACTTGCAGCTTGCCAAGGCGCTGCTGGGCTAGCGCCCAGGTTCTGTAGCCCCATTGTAGAGGGAGGGTTCTTGTGCCTATCTACCCCTCACCCTGTTGCCCTGCACTTCACCCACACTTTGAGCCTTACTTGGTGTAAATACAATCATTGTGAGCAGAAATGCCAGGCAGTGTTTTGTGTCAATAGAAACTTAATCAGTAAGCAATGTCCATCATTCCTCCTAGCTAAATTTTCTTTTGTCCTGGCAGTTTGCTGATTAATCAGACAGGTGCTTTTCCTTCCACCAAGAAAAACAAAATTTGTCAGCAAGATGCTTAAGAATGCGTGTGAGAGAGGGCCTGGTGGTATGGTTCAAGTGGTAGGGTGCTTGCCTAGTACAAGGTTCTGAGTTCAAACACTAGTACCCCCCCCCAAAAAAAAGAGAATGAAAAACAAAGAATGGGGGAGAGAAATTGAGACTGTCTCCTCAGCTTTGCAAAAAATTTAAATAAATTCATTTCTCAATTAAAAAAATGAATAAGAATGATAAGCATATTTCAAAATGATTAAAATAGTATTTTCCCAAGTATGGTCCTTTAAACATTGAGTAGCTGCCTGCTCTCAGAAGCCATGCTGCCAACCCAAGCATGCGATCCTGTCACTATTCAACACATCTCTGAAGGTGTTTTTCAGGTGTTCCTCCCTGAGAATATCTCTGTAAAAGAATAAAAAGTTGGGGCAGCCCAACCACCATGGCGTAAGGAAATATAGCAGAGATTCTATTCTAGTTAAAAATAGAATGACCTCTACCAGGAGGAGAAAATGAAATTCATTTAATCAAGGAGACAAAGATCACTGGATCCAGATGATTTCATTTTTAAAAGAGCCCAGCTGCCTTTGGTCTTTTGAGTTGGGGACCCCACATGTGGTAAGGGAATGAAGAAAGCTGTCAGCAACCTGGCCTTCTGTAGATGCTTCCCCACCAGAGGGAGGCCCTGTGTCATGTGTGAGTTATGATCCAGCAATGCTGGGGAAAGAATGAAGCAGTTGTCTTTGTTTCAGATGACAGGAATAGGTGATTGGACTCTAGTCCCTCCAACTACCATCAGAATATCATTGACAGGAAGGCCGTGACAGTCTCCTGTTACTGCACACGTGCATGTTTCCTATGTATGCTGCCAAATGTTTTATTGATAGGAGCTAAGTCCAATGCTTTTATAATAGAGTGCAGGTACTGTAAAACTACAGGAAGACAGGTGTCCTTAATCCTCAGCACCTGAGTACTCCCTAATGTATGTTTCTTGAATAAATGAGTAAATGTTGCTTGAATTTAATGGGAAGAAAAAGCATTAAACACACTTTGATTCCAGAAATATTGGAAAGAAGGGCAGGAGGTGTAGCTCAAGTGGTAGAGTACCTGCCTAGCAAGCATGAAGGCCCTGAGTTCAAACCCCAGTACTGCAAAAAAAAAAAAGGAAAGAAATATTGAAATGAAACAAAGAGCTGCACACTTTGATGAATTGGTTGCCTCTTTTATCTTTCAGAGTCGGAGTTGACAAATTTGGCAGGATTATACAGAGATGAACGGTTGAAACAGAAAGCAGAGTCGCTGAAACTTGAAAACTGTGAAAAACTTTCCAAACTTATTGGCCTCCGCAGAGGTGGCTGAGAGGATGATGACCTGTGCAGGGTTGGGGTTTTGTTACTTGTTACTATTTATGTTCCTAATTCCATTTTATAATACAAAATTAGGAAAGTTGAACATTTTACTACCTTGCTAACTTTGCTTGTTGGACAGAGTTGAAGGAGCTCAAGCATGGAGGCAGACTTGTCATCACAGAATCTTTCCCAGTAAGTGGTTCCTGGAGCAGGAACAGTTCATTTATGTTACAGGAATGGCAAAGCATTTACTCAGCTCCTCTGCTCCATGCCTACCCTGCCTCTGTGACTGCAGTTAGGGCACCCTAGAGCACGTCCCTGTTTTTTCTTCCTCCTTCTCATCTTTAGTGAAGTCTCAGTACCCAGGCATCCCTAGGCTTAGCTAAAGCAGCTTCCTGTTTTTTACAGCATCTGCCAAGAATTATGCCCTTCACCACATTAAAGTCATCATCTCCCCCAAGATTCAGCCCTGTAACTTAAACTATTTAGCCAATAGTTTTCTATTTTCCTAATCTCGGTTCAGAGGATTCAGAAATTAAAAACTGTTGAGCTGTATGATAGTTCAGTGGACAGTTCAGCAGCAGGAAGCAGACCCAAGGGGAAGGTAAAATGCAGACTGATTTTCAGCCCTTCAGTGCAGATTCCTTAGTCTAAAACAGAATCCAGAGAATGTTCTCTGAATCATTTCCTCTTTGGTATCATTACCCTTGAACTGAGTCCCTATACCCCAAAGAGGTATAGCGGTCAGACCCATAGCCATCTAGCACATAGCCAACCAGCATGGTTGTGGCTCAAGCCTAGAGGTAGAAGAAGAAGATGCTCGCTTTGTGGCCATGGAGGACTAGTGTTGGGCCTTAAGCAGTCTTTTGATTAATCCAGTGTCTTATAGTTTGTGGTATGAAATGTTTTATTCAATATTTATTTATTCAGTGCATACCGTAAAGCAAGAGTTCTCACATATATTTTTTACCTAAATTTTCTACACAACTTTGTGAAGATTATCTCTGTTTTTATGAAGGAGCACATTGGCCCAAAGAGGATGAATGGTTGACTTGAATTGTACGATAGGTAATGGCAAGGCTAGATGGCAGGCTGCTTATCAAGTAAAAAGTGTAAGAGATCGCCCTCATTTCTCAGGTGATTCTAGTCAGATTGGCCAAGCAGAATCTTTTTCCCAGGATGCCTCTGTCCTCTGTATCCTTCCTATGGCAGTCCTGCATTCATTCAGGATGACTTCTGTACTGGTCTTTAGGAAGGAGGACCCGCTCTACACAAATTGAGGTTCCTCAAAGGCAAAAGGGCAGCCTTTCCCACTGGTGACAGAAAGAGCTAAGGCATTGCCTGGGCTGTGTGATTCTGGACCAGGATTGAGCTGCCCAGATTATCATGGTCTCTGAATTATAAAAGGACCGTAGGTGACTGTAGTTTACACTGTATGTCTTCTTTGGATTGGAAGAAAAGCTCCTATTGGAAGAAGCAAAATGAGTTCCAAAGTAGTTTCTCCACTCAGGTCATATCTGTGATTTAGGCAGAAGTGTCTAGCATGATTCATGACTCAACATATACATGCTCCACAAAGTCAGGAGATGGGTTCATGAGTAAAGAATGAGGGCTGTGGTGGCTGGTAGGAGACAACTATTCAGCTCTCCTAGGGAGGGGTAGCAGTTTGAAATAGCCAGATTTTGCTGCCCAGATAGGTCTATCCTCCTGGCTTTTTAAGGGCCTCTTTGACCTCCTCTGAGTGACAGGGAATTTACACTGTAAAATATGCCGTGAGCCAAACAGGCTTATGGAAAGTTTATATATATACAAAAATCAAAGTCTCTCACCCTAGCCTCAAACCTCTGCTAGAAAATGGGCCATAATGAAACTAATTTGACAGCGTAGAAGACTGTCCTCTAGATGCCCGTGAATAGCATATTCATATGTTTTGTGGATTTCATGATAGCGATGAATTATCTGTGATGATACTAATTAGAGGCAATACTAATTCCACCAAATGTCATACTGATTGTCTGTAACATTGATAGTACTGCTTTATTTATTACTAATAGACCATAATACTCACATCCGGTTTTTCTCAAGGGAACCATATTTTCTTTTGGTTGAAGAATAGTTTAATCTATTTGGTACTATCTAGAATATTTGTTAAACTGTTAATTTCCTTGATTGTATTGTAGATGGATTGTCTGCATGGTGGTAAAATAACTCTTTCCTCTTGCCTACATCCTTTGGAAGAGTTCCTGACAGTATAACTTTTACTTTCTTTCTGCATTGCTGCAGATTGTACAAGTGTGATGGTAGTGGGACAAAGAAATAAGGTTTGAGGCTCACCCAGAAACTGAACTGAAGCTTCCATTCAGATGAAGGTGCTCTCAGCAGTGAGGAGGGGAAGATGAAAATCTTTCTTATCACAAAGAACTGTGCAGGTTGAAGGATACCATGTCCCCACATTAGCAGCTCTGGGGTTCTTGTGCCCAAGCAAAACAATTTCTAAGCTTTCTTCACCAATGTATACTGAATTGTTGTAACATTGATAGTACGTTATTTATTAATAATAGACCATATACTCACATTCCGGTTTTTTCTTAAAGGGAACCAATATTTTTTTGTTGAAGAATAATGTTTAATTATGTGGTATATCTAGAATATTTGTTAAACGTTAATTTCTTGTTGTATTGTAGTGGACTTGTCCTGCATGGTGGTAAAATAACATCTTCTCTGCTAAATCCCTTGGAGAGTTCTACAGTATAACTCTTTAGATAAGCTTTTTTGCTTCAGATCATGGCACACAGCGTTTTGCTATTCTTCTGCATTGCTGCGATTGGTACCAACGTTGGATGGTAGTGGGACAAAAAAATAAGGATTTGAGGCTCACCCAGAACTATGAAGCTTCCATTCAGATGAAGGTGCTTCTTCAACAGTGAGAGAGGAAATCAAATCTTTCTTAATCAAAAGGACTGTGCAGGTTGAAAGGATAAATGCTTCCAATTTAGCCTTGGGGTTCTTGTGCCAAAAAACAATTTCTAAGCTTTACTGATAGTGCAGTCACAGCTTGGTAAGGGAAGAAAAAAATAATAACTGTTTTTTCTGTTGGAACTATCAAATGACCAGTGAACTCAAACTCCACATGGGATACAGCAAGCAGGCACGCTATGTGCTATTCTCGTTTTCATCTTCACATTCCTCAGGAGTGGCACTAGAGGAGGCATTTAGGGATTCCAGCAGCTTTCTGTTACAAGTGGCCACACATCCGAGTCCATTGTCTTTGCATGCACTGCTCCTCACAGGAGCTAGCACGTAATATGTATTTATTTTAGACTCAGTTAGGGTATCGGCTTAGTGTTCTGATAATATTTTTGGAAAGGGCCAAGTTATTATTCATCTTAGTTTTTGAGCTTGCATTGTTGATACCTCATGAAGTGGCCACCAAGTAGCCATAAACCCATGTGTTAGATATTGATTACATCATTTGCATCACACTCAGTCTTTGGAATTAAAAATGTGAATGTTCTATGACTAGAGTCAGGGATGACACAGATGAAATGATGAAATCAGCTCCTGGTGGAGTAAGACTCCAGAAAAATCTGGTCACCTGATCCATTGCATCTAGATTGAGTGTATTTTAACAAATAAAAACATTAAATGATTTTATATAAAAAGAATGGCTTTATATTTTTCCTTTGTTCTTTTATCTTTGCCTATGGCATCTTCAGGCACTGCACATACTTGACTCCCTTGGAGCCACTTCCTACTAGAGAAGCTGATAACCACTGCTCCAGTCTTCCTCCATCCCTCAGTGGAATTATTTGTGTTTAGAACAGTGCACAGCATGGATGGTATCATGGCTTCCATACTTTCTATCAGATAACAGCAGCTACAGATATCACGGCCAATCTGCAGAACAAAACCATACTTAGCATTAAAAAACAAAACAAAACAGATCCTTGTTGACTTTATTCCCAGTGGCCAATATTTAGGAAAGTCTTGGTTTAGAAATATGGTTCCTTGTATTTATATGAATCAACTTGTTTGTGATAGCTTTTACTTGAAAAAAAAATGGACATGAGTTCAGTTCAGTGAAGGTTGAGAACTTGCTCTGTCAGGTGAGCTGAGCTAATGGTCAGGGAACAAGTGAAACCTAACCCAGAGGCTCCTAGATTAAACATCTAGTGGACAAATGAGGCTTTAGACAATGCACCCCAATGGGGTAAGTGGAGAGAAATGCAGGGGTAGGGACATGGCTCAAGTGGTAGAGTGCTGCCTAGCAAGCATGAAGCCCTGAGTTCACTCCTAATACTGCCAAAAATAAAGATATAGCAAACCCCGGGGGAAAAAAGTCAGAAATCCAGGAGACTATGTGGTACACTGAATTTGGTGTTGCCAATGCACCACAACTAATTTTTTTTGTGGGGGGAGTAGTACTGGGGTTTGAACTCAGAGTCTACACCTTGAGCCACTCCATCAGTCCTTTTTTGTGATGGATTTTTTGAGATAGGGTCTCCTGAACTATTTTGTCCAGGCTGGATTTGAACCTCCATCCTTCTGATCTCTGCTTCCTCAGTAGCTAGGACTACAAGCATGAGCCACTGGCACCTAGCTACCACAACTAATCTTCATGCCATTATGCTGACTCTTTTCAAATTCAGGCTGGCTTCAAATAGTAGAAGGTAGCAAAACTGGTGGCTTCCATTTTTGTACTTGGGAAGAAGCCAGCCAGCATGTAAGTCCGGGTACCCTGAAACCACTATTGCTAACCACATGTAGAAGGCACATAGAAGAGAACCAAGCAGCAGAGCTGACAGCAATAAATGAGAACCCAAATGTATAATGCAAGTTGAGCCATTCATGTCACCTTAGCTGATGGCAGAACAGAAATGCTCAGACTGCAGATTGTAGCCATAGACAACCAAAACACATTGTCAGCCTTTTCCCCCATATCCCTTCCATCTTTAAGACCTGTTATTTTTACCTCCCAAACATCCTAAACCTACTTTCTTCATCTCTGAAACCATTGGATTCCCAAACTACCATCCACTTTCATTGTAGTAGCCTCCCAAGTGTTCTGTAGGTCTCCACAGGCCCTCTTAATCTATATGCCTCACTGTAACCAGAGAGATCTTTTCAAAGCATAAATTGGATCATATCACCCTCTTGCCTAAAATATTTCAGTAGCTTTCTTTTGCCCCCAGAATTAAAACTATAAAAGTTCTTAGCAGGCCTAGAGTGTTTCATAAGGCTCTGCCAAGTTCGGGCTCTAATCATTGTCCTATAAATTCTTCTCTGACACACTAACCTTTTAGTTACTACTCTGCCAACTTCTGTTGCCCCAGAGTCTGTATATTGTTTCCTCTTTTTAGAACCTGTTCCCACTCACTTGCCCTATTTGCTTTACTAAATGCATTCCAGTTATCTTCATAGGTTTCAGCTGGAACATCACTTCCTCCTAGACATCTCCCCTCCCACAGATGCTTGCCCAGACTAGGATATGTCTCCCTATGAATTCCTTTCATTCCACTGTTAGCACTTGTCATAGCTATAATGCTATTTATTTGAATGATGGTATAATTTGAGATTTGTGTATTTATTTGATTATTGTCTGACTCCTCCACTACACTAAGTTCCAGTCTGGTTTTATCTAAGATGAACCTTGAAGGGAATAACATGCCATCTGACACAAAGATTTGCGCTGGAAGAGTAGCCCAAAATCTTTGATACTACTGCTATTAATAGGTGAGTGGAAGCCAGGTGCTGATGACTCACACCTGTAATCCTAGCTACTTGGGAGGCAGAGACTGGGAGGATCACAGTTCAAAGCCAGCCCCAGCAAATAGTTCTAGAGACCCTATCTCAAAAATACCCAACATAAAAAAGGGCTGGCAGAGTGGCTTAAGTGGTAGAACGTCTGCCTAGCAAGTGTGAGGCTCTAAGTTCAAACCCTAATACTTAAAAAAAAAAAAAAAATTAGGGGAAGCCAGGTGCTAAGGGCTCATGCCTGCAATCCTACCTACTTAGCTGTTTGCAAGACTGAGATTGGAAGGACTGAGGTTTGAGGCCAACCAGGGCAAATAGTTCTAGAGAACCCAATCTCCAAAAATAATCAGAGCAAAATGGAGTGGAGGTGTGGCTGAAGCAGTAGAGCACCTGCTTTGTAAGCACAAAGCCCTGAGTTCAAACCCCAGACCCGCCAAAAAAAAAAAAGAAAAAGAAAAGGTAAGGGGACTGAGTGTGTCTTCTTCCTCTGAATTATCATTTTGTGTATGTGTGTGTAACTAGGATTTGAAGTCAGGGCCTTGCACTTGCCAAGCAGGCACTCTACACTTAAGCCATGCCCCAAGCTCTCACTCACTTCCCTTGAATCTGGACTGTGTCCAAAAAGTACAGCAGAAGACTGGAATGTAGCTCAGTGATAGAGTGTTTACCTAGCCTCTAGCCTGTGGATTTGGTTCCCAGCAATTAAAAAGAAAAAAAAGTAGCAGAAATGACACTAGGGCTTTTTGCTGGAAGCAGAGTGTGCTATCATCATGGGTCCCATGCATGCTCCCAGGAAGGGCCTGTCCCAGTCAGCTGTGTCTTATCTCCGAACATCCCTGCCTGACTGAACCTGCCTGATGTCTGACAATGTGAAGGAGCAGATTTACAAACTGGCCAAGAAGGGCCTGACTCCCTCACAAATTGGTGTGATCCTGAGGGACTCGCATGGCGTTGCACAAGTATGTTTTGTGACAGGCGATAAAATCTTGAGAATCCTTAAGTCCAAGGGACTTGCAGATGATCTTCCAAAGGAGTTCTACTGTTAAAAAAGCTGTTGCTGTTCGAAACTATCTGGAGAGGAACAAGAATCCATCTGATTCTGATAGAGCAGAATTCACCGGTTGGCTTTATTTTATAAGACCAAGCCTGTACTCCCTGCTGATTGGAAATGAGTCATCCACAGCCTCCGCCCTAGTGGCATAAATTTGTCTTGTATACTCAAGCAATAAAATAATTATTTCAATTTTTAAAAAAATGACACTAAACCAGTAATTAGGCCTTTAGATAGTGGTATTTTCTGGTGTTTGTTTTCTTTCGGTAATGGAGATTGAATCCAGGGCCTGGAATATGCTAGGCAAGTGCTTTGCCTCTTGAGCCATGGCCCCAGGTCCTGTCACTTCTCATGTTTTTTCTTTAACCCAACTACCATTCTATGACAAAGCCCATGAAGAGGAACCATGACCCTTACTCAGCTCCCAGCTGACAGCACCAATGGGCCAGT